GGACAAAGGTTGGGTGCAGAAGGGAGCTTGGGGTAGTAGACTGAGGTGCAGGAGGGAGTGTGGAGTCAAAGGGAGTTTGGGTAAAGGAGGGGATTGTGATCAGGGGCAGAGGCATGGGTTGCAGAGTTCAGGAGGGAGTATAGGTACAGGAGGATTCTGGCCTGGGGAGGGGGGTAGGAGGTGGTGCAGGGTCTGAGAGGGAGTTGTGACCTGAGTGAAGAGGGCGCAAAGGATTTGAGTGATTACTTGGGGCAGCGGAATGGGGTGCAGGGGCAGGGAGGGAGTATGGGTTCCAGAGAGGATTCTAGCCTGGGAGAAGGGTGTAGGAGAGGGTGCAGGGTCTGGGAGGGAGTTGTAACCAGAGGGAAAGGCGTACAGAGGGTTTGGGTGGCCTGAGGCAGGTAGGGGGGGGGGGAGAAAAAGAGGGGATGCCAGAGGCAGGCTCTGGCTGGGAGGTGCTTACCTAGGCAGCTCCTAGTAAGCAACCCTGCAGGAACCTGAAGGCTGCAATGGCAAGCTGCTCCACTTGGCCCTGCTCCAGGCAGGGTGAAAGAGGGGGCTTCATTGGCTGCCCTTGCCATCAGTAAAATCTCTCAGCTGCTATTGGTCAAATGGGCCAATGGGAATGAAGAGATTTTGCTGAGGAGCAGGGCATAGCACAAAGCCTCCCTCTTCACTTTCAGAATAGAGCAGCCACATTTAAAGTGACTGCCCCTGTGCTGTGCTTAAGAGTCCCAGCAAGGCAGCCGCGGGCTGAATCCAGTGGTTTGGACCAGATCCGGCCCGCTTGGCAGCCTCTTGCCCACCTTGATCTAGGATCTCTCTGCTTGTTCATGAATAGTGATAGAAATGTAGCCGTGTTAGTCTGGGGTAGCTGAAGCAAAATGCAGGACAATGTAGCACTTTAAAGCTCATCATCTAATAAACCATCTTGTTAGTCTTTAAAGTGCTACATTGTCCTGCATCTTGTTCATGAAGTGATCAAGAATGGTTGCTACCTGAAACTGGGAAGGCTTTTTTGTTTTGTTTTTTTAAATACTAGTGTGCAAAATGGGAATGCTAATATATAAACCCAAGAAAGGTGGAAAATGACTCCTAACAGACAGACTCACAGCTCCACTGAGAAAAGAAATCAGATATTTCTCACCTTGATTGCAGGAGACTACTTCAGAATTTCAGTTGTTTAGATACTGTGGGTAATGATCATCTTACAAACCTAGAGATGAAACTAGAAACAATTTAACTTTAGTCTCCTTAGTAGTTCTTATCAGCAGGCCATGCAGTGGACTTGAAGTAAGAAGATTCTGAAATTATCACTTATCTCTCTACAATGATCCAGATATTTATAAAACATGCCCTCTGCTAACGTTTACTAGCCAAAGGAGGGGCTATTTTAACAGGAAGGATAAATTAACAAAACCATGTGTTTAAATGGTCTCATCTAAAATCATAAAGCATAAGCATAAAAGCATAACATTTACCTTAAAATATATCTTAAGTGGATCCCTTGTTTCCCCAGACCAGAATGCACCTTTTATTCCTTGCACAATCCCATCCCAACAGAGGTGCTCTTAAGCTCTGGAAGAAGCTGCATCCAGCTTCTCTGTAACTACATGTAGATCACATTGAAGTGTGGATTCTGGAGAACCACCTACTAGTTTCTTCCCTCCCTCTAGATTAAGACATGAAGTCTACACGTCAATGTCTACCTGTAACCAAAGCATTTCATGTGGCTTAATACCAAAAATCCAAGTGTCTAGGATTACAAATGTTAATGGAGTCATGTCTGTTGGAATTTCATCACAAAATATCTCAACCTATTGGGCAGAACAGTATTAGATGTTAAAACAATTACTATTCATGAAGTCATTAAAAGGATAAGGTTTTTTATATATATAAATATACACACACCGCACTACACATATATAAAACCTTTAAAGTGTCTCTTAGTACATTTATTTTAAAGCTCTATTTCAAAGTTATCTAAATATTACTCGTATTGAAGTTAACTTTTAAAATTCCCATATAAAAGTAATCTCAAGCTAGTAAATGAAAGGGCATCACTGATCTAGGTCTCATGGCAATACACTTTATTTGGCCCAGGTTCTCAATCTGGGGGTTGAAACCATCTTCTTTTTTATGGCCAGATGGGTCCCCAAATATTCTGTTGTCATTTGGGGGTCACAGTATAGAAAAGAACAAAAGCCACTGTACTAGAACAATCGTGAAGAGAACAGGAGCACTGTCTCCTCCAAATGTAACCATGAAACTCACAGAAATACTCTCTGTATGTGGTAAAGAGGTGTGGGAATGGAAAAATGGAGCCAGTGAGTACAGGAACCCTCTCCCTACAGTCATGTAAACACACAAGGAAATAATCTGCTAGTATAATAAATTTCAGGATTAAAAAGACAGTGTTAATGTGGAAAGAAACCACAGAGGGACTAATATATTTTTCTAAATGTAAAAAACCATGTATAAAGATTTTTAAATACAAAGTGCTTCTATACATCAGGTTACAATGTTAGTGAACAGATACCTGTCTAGTTACCTTGAGTACATGGGTTAGACAGCAAGTATCACCCCTACCCTGCTTTAATGTAGAGTTCAAGTAAGTGCTAAGAACAGGAACTCCTTAATGCTCATAATTTATATGTCCGTTGCCAGCAATGGACTCATGTTCTGTACTCCACATTCTATATGAAAAATATCTGAGAATTGGTAGAATAAAATTTGAGAGCCTTTAAAAAAATCCATTTAAGTAATATACCAAAAAGTTGTAGTAATAGCAGCCCATCAAGTAATGAATCTCACCTTTGTGTCAGACATTTATGTTCAGGATACAGTTTGGTTATATGTTAATTTTTTAATTGGACTGTTAGATCTTTCCTTCTTTAGTTGTTTCTCTTTGTTTACATATGTGGCTTTAACATAAAGGGTCATCTTGTATTTTAGTTCCATGATTCTACAGATTACAGAATCTGGATGCAACTTGGGGCCAGTTAGGCTTGGTAGCCTCTTGGTGCTGGCTAGCTATTTTGGTAAAGCACTTGAAAAGGGTTACACATACGTGGACTCACCTCATCTGATCGTGTGAAGGAGGGTCCTCCATTCTTACACCAGGTAATAAACTACCTTGTAAAGTTAACTGTTTCTGAGTAGCAATGAAAAGACTTTCAACCATTTTGAGCTGCCTTCTTTATCCCTCATCTTACATCTTATCTCCACCTTTACAATGGGTGCATTCCCTCTGGCCTGACAGTTGGCACTATCTTCCAAAACTATAACGCTGCTCCATCTGCTAAAATATACCCTCCTCATGGAGCACCAGTGCCACCTTCCCACAACCAAGAATCCAGAAATTGCTCACACACCTAAAACTTGTACACAGCATCATATCCCACTGTGTAATTTAAAAAGATCCAAACAAGGTAATTTCAATTGTCAGCAAGGGATTTCATTTGGAGAGCAAACAGCTCTGACCAGCTTCTGCCTCTGAATGTGATCAGTCACAGCGGTTGACAATCAAGAACATGTGTTATGGACTCCACTGTTCAGAGGATTAAATATTTAAATGCCAGTTTATCAATGACTAACAACAACTTCTGAAGGAAGTCTTTTAAATTTCTGTTTTAAAACAAATTTTCAAACAAGTTTTAGTACCAAACAAAAAACAAAAAAAACCCCCAAAAAACCCCCAAGTCAGTAAAGCCATGAAAATCTGAAACTATAGATTAAAGGCTTTATTGAGTTCTGGAATACCACCAACTGTGCACTTAAAAAAATAAAAACATTTTGATAAAATACCCTCTTGCTACACACACTTCTACAAGTTCTTGTTTGATGTGGCAGCCAAGCTTGAAAGACAGGTTGACTGACTTTAACATTATGCACTGCAAAGGTACAAACAAATGAAGTTTCAATGTAACTGGGTTTTAAATTTATTCAGCACACATGATATATTCAAGTGCTTTTACAAAAATGAAAAAAAATAGTACTAAGCCCAGAAATGTAGATAGAAACATACACTGCCCGAGGGGGGAAAAAAAGTAAAGAAAGGCCTAACTCAAAGTGCTTTTCATTAAGAGATATAGCCATCTGAAGACTATTTAATAACCCATGTTAAGTAAATTGGTGGTATCTGTTCAGTTCCATGCTGACAGCAAGTTCTATAGAACTAAAATCCTTGATTGTTTTAAATAAATCAAACACCTAAATCCTGCAATTTCTATACATAGCTAATCTATGCAACCTTGTGCTATTATTACCCTTATTGCCACCTTCTCAATGAGATTACTCATGCATAAAGTCAAGCACAGGAATAAGTGTTTGCAGGATTGAGGCTTTAAGGTTGTGGTTTTTGCTCTGGAACTTACAGTATGTTTTCTTTAACTCTTAGCACAATGGGGCCTCCATCAGAGCCTCCGAGTACCATTGTGAAACAAACAGCAACAACAAAAACTATCTCAACAGAGGCTTCTATAAATAAGCCTTATAGATTTGAACTTCCCTTTCTCCTCTGAAGGGGTCCCACCTGGACAGGGCTGAAGCACCTGCAGTGGAGACAGTAGATGGACAAAAATTTGGTCTGCTCACAGCTGTACAGGTTGAACCCTTCTTGTCTGGCACTCTTTGGCCCAGCAACATCAGTGATTCAGCATAATTTTAGTTAGCCAGATGTCCACTTATCATGGTGTGGCCAAGTTTCCCACAGTCCCATAAAGTTTGTTTACAGCCACCAGTCCTGGCTCTCAGTGTTCTGTGCTGTTATTTAGCTTGAATTTACCTCTAAATGTCTTTTAAGAGCCCAGTAAGCAGTGGAAACTTTAGCATTACTGACCTCCCATGGTTCAGCAAATTATCAGGTTCAGCACCGGTCAGGTCCTGAGGGTGTCAGATTAGAGAGGTTCAACGTGTATTAGAAACATCCTTAGAACTTTAAAAACAAAACAAAAAAAAAAAAAAACCTTAATTTTCACAATAGCAAGTACCAGACAATATTTGCATAATTAGTTTATTTTGCTTACTCTGCTGAACAATAAGAAGTCCTATATTTTAGTTCATCTCAGTAGTATTCTGCTCTGCTTTGGAGGCTTGGTATGACTTAGTACAAGAAGTTACATGCCGATGAAAACTGTCCCTCCACATAAATCTTTTCCCACAGATATTACACTCGTAAGGTTTTATGCCTGTGTGAATTTTCATATGGCCGACAAGGTGATGTTTCATTTTGAATTTCTTACCACAGACACCACAACCATAAGGTCGAAGACCCAGATGCATGCTCATGTGCCGATCCCTCTGACTCTTGTGTGTAAAGCTTTTGCCACATTGACAAGGATATAGTTTGTCAGCAGATGAAAATCCAGAGAGAGTGGTTTCTTCTTTAATTCCTGTAGCCATTTCAATGTTCTCGCCGTACCCTGCTGCTATCATAACATCCTGTCTGTGAACACTTAGATTTCCATCTGCCCTTTCACCAGAAAATTCTTCCATGGAAGAGCCATAGAAATCAACTTGCTCATCATAGTTATTTTCATCAGCCTGTTCATCAAATTCTGCCTCCATCTTTTTGTCACTTACATGAAAGTCTTCAACTCCTGAAGACTGGATCGAATGTTCTGTCTGAATGGCATTCATAGATTCAGACACCTGGTGCTCATCATAAGAAATATGTGCATCTACACCATCACAGTCCTGCTCAAATCTTTCTGGTTTCACATGGATCCAACGCTTGTGCGACATGATGCTGGGTTTGCTATAGATAGGCCTCGTATACTGACACTCTGCACTGTCACTGGCTCCCTCTTCACCATCCTGACTTGTCATTCCTGTGCTGAGTCTGTCATGTTCTGTTGAAGAATTACTAGGAAGGTACTCGTGTTCTGTTAGCTGAGATGACAGCTCATCTTTAGAGCTTTCTTCTTCATTTTCACCATCCCTCAGCTCCTGCGCTTTGTGGAAATCTGGCTGTCCTCCAGTGCCCAGCTCAAAGGTTTCAACAAGCCCATTATAGCTACTGCTGCTTGGAGATTGATGGTCACTGCCATGATTCATCTTCTGACAGAGAACTGTTGGGTTCCCCTCTAACACTTCAGTGCATTTGTCTACCACATGCCACATCTGAAGGAAGCTTGCTGCTGTCAGATAACTGACAATTTCTGGAGCTGGCATCACCAACCGTCCCGTGTAAGTAGACAGCAAGATATTCTCAAACACTCTTGGATTCATCACATCAGGCAGGACTATTCGCCTGCTATTTTTCAAAAGTACTTGATCACAGAAGTAAGGTGAGCTGGCTGCAAGGACAGCTTTATGGGCTCTGAATAGATGGCCCTGAACTACAATGGAAACATCACATAACTGTCCCTGCTGGCGCTGCTGGTTCAACTTCTGTAAAATGGTGCTAGAAAAATCAGGAAATTCCACTCGAAAAGAGTTTGTCCCAGACTCCATTTCATTACAAATCTAGTGTTGTGCTGCAAGAGAGAGGAAAATATAACGAGTTTCAATGTAACTAAGCAGAATTTATCATGAGGCTAAATTTTCTCACTCAACTTTCTTATCTTCAAGTCTTTCCTTTTTTAGGAAAAAACATCAAACAAATGGTCTGGTAGCACTTTACAGACTAACAAAACATGTCGATGGGATCATGAGCTTTCGTGGGCACAGCCCACTTCTTCAGATGACTGGAGTTATGATTAGAGGATCCTAATCTGAAGAAGTGAGCTGTGCCCACGAAAGCTCATGATCCCATCGACATTTTTTTTAGTCTATAAAGTGCTACCAGACCATTTGCTTGCTGTTTTTTTCTGTAACAGACTAACTCGGCTACCCCCTGAAGCTTTTTTAGGAAGGGACACTTGCGTGGGTTGACATATTTAAAGTAAGTGGGCTTACTGACTAGTCGAAACTAGTTGAGTTTTAGGAACCTCAAAAGCTGCCAGTCTGTTCCTGCCTTTTCTATTTTCTTAGTCTTTCAATTTTAAAAATGTTCTACAAGATTACAAGCTGCTACACCATTGGTACACACGTGAAGGTTGGATATATAAGCATATCCTGTACAGCTGGTTATTTTATGAGAATATGGGGATTACTCATGCACGTGATTAGAAGGGTCAAGAGTAAAAAAAAGTGGTTATTTTGATGAGGGTTGCTTGATTTTCTTATTTAACTATTTCCACCATTTCCTAGAGTTTCTCAAGTGGGAGAAATCAATTTTGTTTTCCAACTGCCAGCCAAATCATCTCCTCAAACCTTTTCCATAAGAGGAAACTGACTCCCTTTAAGAGAGTAAATTCACTTTAAGTTATAGTTTAAAAAAAAAAAGTTATTTCATAGTTCAGAAAGCGACTGTCAGTCTTAAATAGGGCAGAACTAGTTAACTTTATTATGAACAATATTTTTCTGCCACTCATTTTGTAAAAGGAAAAAGTAGTACCTGTTACTATTTGTACCTGAAAGACTTAGTGACACAAACTTTGAATTTTCCTAAACGCTATGTTATAAATTCCCTTGAGTCAGCATCTTTTAAATGCAGTGATGGGGGTATTTTTTGTTTGATTGTTTCTTGTTTTTTGCTTAAAGTAGAGTCTAACAAGACTAAATTCTTTAAAGAAACAGAAGGTAATTAAGGGCCTCAAATAATTCAGCTGTTTAGTTACAAAAAGAGAAGTCCCTAGAGAGCCCTGTTACATGATAGTAAAGAAACAGAATTGCTAATGTGGTCAAGAACGATAAAAAAGCAACTTTAGCTGTGTGGATAGATTTGTAGAAAATTTAAAAGAGCACAAGCTTGAATCAGATGTGGAGTGGTCAGATGCTATTTGAGCTTCCAGAAATTTTTGTGCATCAGCAATTTGATAGAAAACCTACTATTTTTAACTAACAAGTGGTGCTACGGTACCTTAGAGACTAACCAAAATATACAACAAAAAACTCAAACAAAAGGAAGTTTTTCTTCACACAGCCAACATGTGGAACTCCTTGTCAGAGGATTTTATGAAGACAAGGACTTTAACAGGGCTCCAAAAAAAGAACTAGCTAAATTCATTAAGGTTAGGTCCATCAATACTCATTAGACAGAATGTATTGGAATGATGTCTCTAGTCTCTGTTTGTCGGGGTCTGGAATTAGATGACAGGAGAGGGATCACTTGATGATTACCTGTTTCTGTTAACTCCCTCTGGAGCATCTAGCATTGGCCACTGTCAGAAGACAAGATACGGGGCTAGATGGACTTTTGGTCTGACTCAGTATGGTTGTTCTTATTTTCTTATATAGCATCATGAACTTTTGTGGGCAAACAAATTGGACTGGAAATTCATCTGATAAAGCGGGTTTTTCCCACAGAAGCTCAAGATTCTCTAGATTTTGTTTAGTCTCGAAGGTGCTACAGGACCACTTGTTGTCTTTAACATTAAAGACTAACATGGCTACCCCCTCTGAAATTTTTTACTATTTTTTATGTTCGATTGTGACAGTCAGTCACAGGAATACACTTTTCAAGGTACAGTATTTAGATTTTTTTTTCAAAGTATCTGTTGTGTTGACATGTTTATCTCTTAGAACAATGTTCTGACTTTCATAAAAAGTTTTTTCTAATGTTTAACAGAGATTGTACAAAAATCTAGGAAAGAAGCCCCAATTCACTAACGAGTCAAAGAAACATAGGGCTGCAAGGAACCTCAAGAGGTCATCAAGTCCAGTCCCCTGCACTAAAACGAGACATCCTGTGATACCTTAAAGACTAATAGATTATTTGGACATGAAGTTCAGATCTAACAAAGTGGGTTTTAGCCCATCAAAGCTTATGCCCAAATAATCTATTAGTCTTTGCTGTTGTAGATACAGACTAATGCAGCTAGCCCACTGATACTGGTCACCTGTGCTGAGACAGGATCAAGTAAACCTAGACTTACCCTGACAGATATTTGTCCAATCTATTCTTAAAAGCTTCCAAAAAATGGGGTTTCCACTGTCTCCATTAGAAACTATTCCCTAGAGACTGACTTCCCTTAAATTTAGCACACCTTTGCTTAAAATCAAGCTAATTACTTCTTCTCATTACAGACAAGCACATGTATGCAAAATTTGACAATTATTATTAATTAATTTAGGAGATGCTAAAGAAACAGCATCACTTTCTTCATGCAAAGCACAAACTAAACGAAGTGAATCAAACAATAATTCATGGTTACATAATCTTTTCCTGGTAATTTTGGAGGTGGAGATAGACCTTGCATTCAAAATAGAAGCTGTCAAAGGTCATCCTTTCAAAATTTAATAACTGGGGAACAAACTCTCTCCTTTAAGGCTAAAAATTAAAGCAACACAATTGCTTTACCTTATTTATTTAGTTGGAAGACTACAAAAAAATTGAGTGCTTTACTGGCAGTAAATAATCATGTTATACTTACTTGCATTTGTGGTGTAACTAACTAGCATTCCTACTGACCTCACTAACATCTATAGAAGATAAACAGATACTGAATTGTCATAGGATGACATGGATGATCATTATCTGAGATCAATTTGTCCGATAGTGCATAGAAAATGTTAATCAGCTAAATGGCTGATTTCCTTTTAAATCACTGTATTATTAAAAACATCAGCTTTTAAAATCTCTTATTATAAGGAAAGCTATTTCTCGGATATTCCCAGCCAGTTAATTGCCTTTTATCTACTTCTAAGAGTGCTCTCTTGGGAGGTAGGAGCCGGCTACAGGTATACTGGCGTCCGTAAATTTAATCTTAGTATTTACGAGCAATCCTCATTTGCT